CGCTGAGGCTTCTTTTCTGCAAGGCTTCCCAAGATACCCTCCCGCAAGGGCCGTAAGAGGCCCCATAAGGCGGGCCCGGCCTTCCCTGTAAACCCTTACGGGAAGGGCTTCTTACGTTACGGAAAGGCTCTTAATTAGAGAAGCTCTTAGAGGGCGGGCTGTAACAGAAAACGTGGAAGGCAGGGAAGGCAGCTTACGCGGAAGCCCCTTGCTGGGAAGGCCCCTTACTTACTTTACGGGGAAGGTGGCTTATGCCGACGGCCTCTTTATGGGAAGGCAACTTACTGGGAAGACCCCTTACAGGGGGGGTCTTTACGGGAGGGCCCTTGTGGGGAAGGCCCTTATGAGAGGGGGGGACCAAAAATCCAAAACCCAACTCCAAAATCCCAAGTCCAAAATCCTAGGTTGCGAGAGCTTGTTCCCAAGGTTTACCGTCACATATTCCTATTATTTCCAAAGCCGTTCGCCAGCGCCATTGGAAGGTGGTTGCGGCTCCTTGCTCGACTGCCGCTCGCTCCAGAGCCTCCTCCGTTGACTGCAGCTGTGCTCGCCGCCGGCAAATGCGGCGCACGCGGCTCGCTTTAGTTTACGGCGCCGTAGGGCTTAGGGTTTGGGTTCAGGGTTCCGGATTTAGGGTGTCGGGCTTTTAGGGTTTAGGGTGTAGGGCTCAGGGTTTGGGGTTCAGGATTCCGGGTTCAAGATTGGGGTTTGGGGTTTTAGGGCTAATGAGTGTGTGAAGGTTTAGAGGAACTTGAGGGTCTTACAGGCGTTGACGGGGGTTTAGCTTCTGGAATTTAAGCCTTGGAGTTTGGAGCCATGAATCTAGAGTATTGGATTTTGCGCTCCAGAATAATTCGCAGCGCCAAGGAACAAAAGGTTTGAGGCTTCAGGCCTATTTCATAAGGACTACTGTAGTTTGGGAGACAGTACTGCTCTGTCAGAATCCTGGAATGACCTTTCTAGATCTATTTGTTTAACGTCCGCGGATCGCTTCGTATTGTGAGGCTATCATTGCTGGGACGACAGCTGTTCTTACTCCCGACCTTTTGCCCTACTCAAACTCACATGGAACCCAGGAAGGGGTTCCAGTTGAAAGGGATGCTGATACGTGGCCGTCTCCTTTCAGGTTTCGCGTTTGCTTGGACAAGTATATGCAGTATATACCCTGAAGCCAGTCCCTATACATCCCCTCATGATGGGTTCCGAGTTTGTTTGGGGGAGTGACAGTCCTTGTGATTATAAGGTCGCCAGGCAACGTCATCGCCATCTCAATCGCGCACCGCGCAGTCTCGTAGTAGCCTCGGCTTTTGGCAACTGCCAGGGGCTTGGAGAGAAATAGCCTTGATGTGTCGACGAAAAACGTGGCTACCTCAGCAACCCGGGGATACATGGGGATGAAAGAGGATTATGGGGGCCCCTGGTATCGGTCTACATAGGGACCATGCTGGGAACTCCCAAATCGGGACCCAAATCTTGACATATTTCCGAAAATTAGCATGCTGAGTTTAGGCTTTGTTTGTCGTCTGAGAGAAACAGCATACGCGGCACCCAAAATCTCTTGCTGCCAACAGTTCCTCGGAACCAAACCAAGACCAGACATCCCTACCCCTACCCTCTTGGAAATGATGGTACTACTCTTTTCCAACCCAGTTGCCGTCGCGGCCCACGACGGAACACCTGGCAGGCATTCAGGTGTCTTGAGACAAGCCCTACACGAGCACACAAAGTCAAATGAGGCATCAGGCGAAGTACTAGTAGTCCTAAACTTGCTGCTTGTTAGTAGAGAATAAGGGAATATAATCCTGATATATAATATGCTCCCATATTCCCTACTAACATCCAGGGTTTAGACTTTAAATGATTGCTTCCATTTTCTAAACCCTAAACCCTAATCCCTACTAACGCCCAGGAAGTAAACCCTAAACCCTGAAACTTGAGGATGACGGCAAGGGGCTGGGGATGGAGATGAATAGAGTTGAGGGGTCTGGGGCTTAGGGTTTAGGGGTTTAAGGTTTCAGATTTCGGGTTTAGGGGTTTGGGGCTAGGATTTAAGGTTTAGGGAGGCCGAATGGCATTGGCTAATGGTTTGACATCCGCCTTCGAGGTCCTTCCTGTTTGCCATGTAGGTAAGCTGTAGTCAGTCAAGGTTAATCCGGGAAAGGGGTTTCGCTGTTCATGGAGTGGACTAGTCCGGGTTGGCTGCTTAGACAGACTTCTGTAGAAATCTCTGGAGACCTTATCCCAGATAGCTGCAGCCTACCACCTCTCCAAGACTGTCTGTAGCTGAATTAGACTTATTGGTGCTCAAGGGAATGCGGATGCTGATAACTTGCTCGCTCTCTCTCTCTCTCTCTGTCTCTCTCTCTCTCTCTCTCCCTCTCTCTAGCCATCTATATATGTATATATACATATGTAGATATATATATATATATGTATGTTATTATTTGTCTTCACATATTATCCAATTTCCCCCTTCAGCACCAATACGTAAGTGAACCACCCTCTCCCTGCATCAGACCTATGCTACGACAACATCATCTTGGCTTGGATCATCACGAGTAAAAGCAGGAGGACGAGCACGGAGAGCTAAATAAAAGTCAGCAACAGAATCGTAGTTGTTTTCCACATTACAGTTAGAATAAAACGACTACAACGAATGGCCAAGCAGTAATTACCAATATAACATGATTACAAAAAATGACGAATGTCAATGATAGCAAAGATGGTAATGAAAACCAAGGGGAGAGGTGGTAATTTCCAAAATAGGGGCCCCAATTTTTGTGGAACCCTAAACCCTAACCCTAATCTCTAAATCCCAAACCCTGTATCTCCCTATAGAACCCCTATATATATATATATATCTATAAACCCCTTGACGGCACCCTTAATTTGGGGAAACCGGAACTACCGTTGGCACCTTGTCTCATGGCCACCGGTTGTCTGTGCCCAGCAGCTGAAGCCTCGGGGAGCCAAGGATCTTTGGGTTTCAGAGTTTAGGGTTTAGGGTTCAGGGTTTAGTCTTGCCCGCCGTGGGATTGTTAGGTTTGGGGTTAATGGTGCGGCCATGAAGGGATTAAGAGTTAAGGTTTAGGTTGGTCATCACTGATATCATTCCTTCTGGCCTCCCTTTGCAGTTCTGCCTGGGTTTGAAGCATCTATGGTCCCCCTTAAGTAGATAGAATACGGGGTATATGGGGATCTTGTTATAATATACCCAAAGCCATATTCTGTCTACTTAAGGGGGACTATATACTTTCGATTGTTCCCGTATGTAATCCCGCTGCATAGAAGGTTTTGGAAATTCCCAGCTTGCACCACAACACTTCCACCTAAGAAGCCAAATGCGCACCAGACCCAAAAAACAAGCCATCATCCTCAAACACAACCTTAGGTGCAAGCCTGAAGAATCCATAGTCCCAAGACCTACCTCAACCCCAATCTCAGGTGGTAACCGTACTAAGTGGGAATCGCATATCCCTGTGCTGCTTAAGGACTACACTTTGGGGTGGTACTTTAAAGTCTAGGGGCCCCGGGAAGATTTGCGAATGGGTCGATGCGTCGCCCCTGAACTTATTAAACCCTGAACGCATGATGAGCTCCCCTCCCGCATACTCAGCCCAAGAATCTCGTCCAGGCATCATCCAACTGATTCAGGTCTGGGCCCTCACCTACAGAAAAAAAGCGCGGTGTTAGGGTGGTCGGGGGCTTTCAATTTACATCTGAGGCCCAGGTTAGGATTTACGATGATTTAGGGCTGAAGGTTTTAGGTGCTAGAGTGAAGTGCTTAGGGCGTAGCTTGGAGACAAAAGCTTGTTGGCTACAAGTAGACCCAAAAATAGCAAAGCGACCGTCAATGATGCTACAGCGATTGAGACTTGGGTGACTGGATTCCTAGGCATCCCCAGCAAGCCAACCAAGTACAACTGACTAAGCCTAGTCCCTTAATCCTGCCCTCTAAACCAAAAAAATCCAAACTCTTTCGCCGCTAGCCATACATGACCTTAGACCCTAAGCCCTGAATAATTCTCACTAAACCCTAAACCCCCAAACCCCGAACTCCAAACCCATAAAACTTATGGTTGCTTATCGCCTGCAGGAACCCTCGAAGAAGCCATGTTCATCTTGTACGGCTCGGGGTTCAGGCTTTGAGGTTTAGGGTTTAGGGTTTATCGTGAAGGAGGTTAACACCACTATGTATAGGCTGTATGGGAAGGGACATGGTAGCCTCCAAGCCCAGCACAACCAATCTCTTGGGGGGAATAGAGCGGGAATCTGCCTAGAAGTTACTATGCTTGCATTCAATCAAGAAAGGCAGCTGCAAGAGTCTGACCTCGGTACCGGCACCCAAGATTATACAATTTCTACTTCCAGTTACGCGGAGCAGCACGGCCTTCAACCGAAACACGCCGGCCCCCAAAGTTCTCAGTCGAGCTTGACTAATTAGAACCCAATTGAACCCGATGCCCAGATGAGCTCTTCAGAAAAAACTGGCAGGTTGGGAAAATCATGGAACCTGTTTGGGGTACCCTAAATAGTCGGGACCGTATTATACTGTGGACTCCAAAAGGGGCTACAAATTTGACAACACTTCCTGCGCATAGGCTTACAGAAGGCTTGGTTTTCAAGAGTTCGAAGGAGGGACCTTATGTGAGCTGTAGTCTGAACTCCTAGTATCCCCCTTAATACCCCTTATGGTAGTTTCCTCTAAGCCCCCTTTAAGGAGTTTAGACTACAGCTTACGTAGATTTCTGTTCAAGTGCGAAGGCTACGACCTCATGAGACCCAGAAGACTTCGCGGGATTTCAAAACCAAGGCCCTCTTGTTGGTCTCAGTGGAGTAGACCGTCTCTACATGATCTATAGTCTATACTCCTAAAAGGCCAGTATTGGGACCATTAAGGGGGATAAAAGGAGTTTAGACTATACCCTAAACCCTAAACCCCTTAGCACCCTGTGAATGGGCACCTATGAACCTTCAAGTAACCGTTCACGCCGGCACGCCTTGCTTGAAGTACTTGCCCTGCTCAATCAGAGCTTCCTGCAGGACTTAAGGGTGCATCTTTTAAATATATATATATAGGGTTTGGGGCTTAGACCCCGAAACCCTAAACCCGAAAACCCAAAACCCTAAAGCCTAGACCCCAAAACGCTAAAGCCTAAACCCCCAAACCCTAAACTTTGTAGGGCTTGGGGCTTAGAGATGCCAGGATGTAGGCTTCAGGAGCCTTAGCTCAGACTCCAGCTTCAAGGCGTTGAAGGTTTAAGTAGATAGAATATGGGTGGTTGTCAAAATTATGGTCCCTTTTTGGCCATGCTAAATATAGGGTGCCATATTATAATAGGGATCCCAAAAGGGACCATAATTGTGACAACCACCCATATGGCTTTGGGTATATTATAAGATCCCCATATACCCCATATCCTATCTACTTAAGGGAGACTATACCCTAAACCCTAAACCCTAAATAGCAGTTTCCATTTTCCTTTCCATTATCCGAATATAACCCCCATATTCTATCTACTTAAGGGGGACTATAGGGCTCAGGAGGTGTGGAACTTTAGCCTTCAGAGTGCAGGGCTTCGGGTTTCGATCTGCGATTGAGGGCTTAGGGCACAGTCTGGGCACGTATATGCAGTTGATGCTTCTAGGGGTCCAGGTTTTAGGGTGCTGGATTTTGGAATTTGGGGCTTACGAGTTTGAAACGGTCAGAAAGCATATTCGCGTTTAGGCTTTCGGGAAGCAGGACTTGCGGTTCTGTCTGTGCCTACTAGGTATGCCCCAGGAATGGACGCCCCTTTCATAAATAATCAAAGCCCTGAAACCCTTAACCCGCCTTCTCACCGCTGACGGAGGGCCCCGAAGGCTTGGGCGGAGGGGCACTGCTGCCGCCGCCACCACCGCCACCGGCCTGGCCCTCAGCTCGGGTAGCTTTGGTTGGAGGTTTGCTGGGCTTGATAACCCAGACCCCGTAAAGGATCCACGAAATGGAACCCCCAATATGAACCCATTACTACATCTAGTGGATTATTAGGGGGTTCCATGTTTTGGATCCTTTAAGGTTCTGGGAAGGGCGTTCTTGGGGATGGTAAGGTAGCTAGACTTACTATATAAGTCAAAAAGACTTCCGTGTGATGGGGGCGGACGGGTTCGAGGAGTTGGTTCAGGCTGAAGGGAATCAAGGGCGGTGCTTAGGATTTAGGATTCAGGCTTTGGAGTTTAGCGCTTGGGGTTTTAGACGTTCAGTTTTACGGTTTCAGGGCGGGGCTGTAAGTTTTAAGGGTTGGAGCTGGGGGGCTTAGACTGTCAGAGTTTGGGCTTTCAAGGCTTTCAGTGCATATTCCAAGGAATTGGGGCATCAGGCTGCGGCTGCGGGCTTCAGGGGAGCAATGGGAAGGTCGGTTTGTGGGGATGTAGGGATGGGATGGAAGATCGAATCTTGCATGATGGTGTGTTTGGGGTTTAAGGTGCAGAGTTGCTGGTTAATGGCATACGGGAACACTAGCCCCAAACCCTATTCATGACTCAAACACTGGCACTAGGATTTCTTGTCTTCTTTCTGGCTCTTTGACAATCACCCCAAAAGGAGGTCCCACGAGGGCGTATCACAAAACTGTACATTATTCACCCCAAAGAAACCTTTCTCAACACCTAAGGTAGTCGCTTCAGGTGCTTAGACTGCTTAGATACTACTCTGCTGTATACCATGTTGGCTGCCTGCGCAATCATCTCTGGTGGCAGCCGCATAAACTCCTCCGGAGCAATCTTTGGCGTAGGTTTTGGAAATTTGCACAATAGGAGGACCCAAATACAGACCCCAACATACGATTATCCTTGCTTGGAGAACAAGACATGGAAATCATTTTCAAAGTGTCCACACCTCTTAGATGATCAAGAAAGGCCGCATGCGAGTCGAATTTTTCCAACTCTAGGGCTCGCCCTACTGAAGGGGCCTAGATAATTACCAATATCATGTTGAGGTCCATTTGAGGTACCATATACTATGGTTATACAAAAAATATGGAACCATGATATTGGTAATTACTTAGGCCCCTACAATATGGGATTTGAGGGCAAGCTTCAAGAGAGTCGCCTCGTCTTCTGCCAAGGCGAATACTACTTGGTACTACTTGGGATCCCCGGTGCAGCTACAGTCCCCACTGAACGCTAAACCCGAAACACTAAACCCTAACGAATGAGCTGAAACGGAGGACGTTGGGTCTTCGAGGTAGGGACTTTTGTTTGAATTAGGGGGGGCCGAAGAAGGCATAGGTTCAGGTTTTAGGGTTTAGGATCAGGGCTGAGGGCTTTTGGTTTAGGGCTTAGAGTTTAGGATCTAGGGTTTAGTGCTTACGATTCTGAAGCTTAGCGCCCCACCATGAAGGGAAAGACCCAGGTTATCAACCAGTTAATGTGGTTTCGAGGTGCAGTGCGATCACTGTGCAAGAAATGATTGGTTGAGAAATGTAGGGGCTACGTCGGCTGGATAACACAAAAAAATTCTTCTAGCTAAGAAATGAAACCCAACACTTCGGGCCATTTCTTATTTGGCTCGGCCTTAAAGGCAGACCTTCCCAGAAGCCCTAAAATAAGACATGTAGGAGGCTACGTTTCCAGAGCTGGAACCTGAAATGCTGGAAATGTGAGAACACTGCATAGCTTAAGATATGAAGGGTACCCTACGCCCTCGAACAACCCTCCTCATAGAGAAAATTCGCATTTCGTTATATGCATACCTTGACCAAATCTTGCCTCAACAAGCTGGCTTTTTGGCATGGTTTAATGCTAAAACCCATACCCCCAAAACCCAAACACCAAGTGCTGAAACCTAAATCCCTAAACCCTGAACCAAAAAAATCTCAAATCCCTCAACCCTGAACACTTACACCTAAACCGCGAGTGTTGGCGTTTAGGATTTAGAGCTTAAGGTCCTGGGGAGCTGGTCTAAGGCATTTAGGCTGGTTTCGGGATTTAAAAATTAAACTTACTGGGGATTAGTAGGGAATAAGGAAATATTAGGGCTTAGGGCTTGTAAGGAACAAGAGAATATACTATATGGGAATTATATAGAGACTATATTGCTGTGTTCCCTACTAACCACCAGTAAGTCAATTCAACCAGTAGTCCGTAAGCTCTTGTGGATGCAATTAGGCTTCCACGTTTAGGGGATGGCCTTTCAGCCTTGAAGTATAGGGTTTGGGGTTTGGATTGAGGCTTTAGAGTCAGGCTGGGATTTAGCGCTCCAGAAACAACATGTAGGGGGGAGGGCTTTTGTCCACATTTGGAGGCAGGTTGCTGGAAGGACTGCAAAATGTGGTTGACAGCTTTCAGACTTCTGCTTCAAGAACGACTGTGTCGAAGGGTTCACGGCTCGAGTGCTAAGGCTTTAGTGACCCAAAGCCTCATGCTGTGCCTCCAGATTTCGGAAGTGTCCTGGTTTCGACTATTTTTCTGAACGTGGCAAAGCCCTTCAAAGATCACCACCACGAAGAAGAGATCCATAATATTGAGAGTCCCCCTCATGCACGATGACGGGGGGCATCTAAACTCTAGACCGCTATCAGGAGATGTTCTGGCTGTTGTCGCTGTAAATCTAGCCAACCTGACCCCAGCTGTAAGTACTCAGTGGGCTCTACGTGTTTAACCCCAAATACTATCCCCTCGCCCCAAATCCTAAATCCTCAAGCAAACATCTCAAGCCCTAAATCCCAAAACCCATGAACTCTAAGCCCTACGCCCTCCTACACCCTAACCCCCCCAAAAAAAAAATCCCAAACACCCTAAACCCTAAACCCTAAAACCTAAACCCTAAAACCTAAACCCCTACACCCCTCCAACCCACTTACTCAGCAGCATCCTGGAAGTTGAACTCCTTGCCGTACCTGGGCTTTGGGGGTTTCGGCGCTCTTTCGGGCGTGGGGTCTAGGTTTCAGGATGTAGGCGTTGGGGCTTCGGGGTTTTAGGATTTAGGTTTTGGCCCTCAAAGCCCGAAAGCCTCCGTATATAACCTGAAATCATGTGGCTTTGGTTGTGGGCTTTCAGGCTCATGGTGCAAGATTCTTAAGGCTCCAGTCTGACTGGCATGTAAATTACTCTTCAACTGGCAGAATGATAAAGCCTAAACCCTAAGAGAACACCCTACCCTAAACCCTAAACTCTGTACTAATCCCAAACCCTAAACCCTCCACCCTAAAGCCCTCCATCTATTGTAGTCGGTGTTTTGTGAGGATCCCAAAGCTACACCTACAAGTCTTCTACGACTTGAGTCTTAGCAGAACCCCCTTGCTTGAATGAGCCCCGCCACTCCCATCATTAGCTGGAGAATTATAACAAGGGGCTCCATGTCGTTTTCCATAGGAACGCGGTTTAGGGCTTAGGGTGCAAAGTTTAGGCCGTCTGTCATGTACATCTATGTGTGTATATATATATATACATGCTGCATACATATATATATATATACACAGCTATGTACATATACAGACTTGGACAAGGATATAAATAGACAGATAAAAAGATGTGTAGACGTGCATGGTTTAGGGCTTAGGCTTTCAAGCTCTTCTGTTGACGACGTTCAGCAAAGTGACGAAATTCAGTGAAGCCCTGGGGCGGGAGGTAAAGAAAGGCTACATAAACATTTGATGCAGGGAGGGGTATATCACTGGGGCCCCTAGTTTTGAAAATACCCATGATTCTCCAGGTAAGCCAACATGATAAGTGCATATGCTAACATCTACCAATCTCATATCCTACTATACTTGTATAAGGGTTCAAAGAAAGCCGAGACTGCTAGTTATTCAGGCTTCCATACCAAGCTGTCCAAAGGCTAGAAGCGTCTAGGATGGGTGCGGACAAACCTGTCTTAGAAACGTCAGCTTTGAGGCGAAAGGAATTCATCCCAAGCCGAGGCCGATCCAGAAAATCGTGAACTTATACAAGTTCCGTGAATGCCATAATCCCTATTGTGGGGACTCCCAAAGAAGGACCCCTGATGTTTGGAAACCAAACCCCCGCATGTCCTGAACCCCAACTCCTGGAACCCACAGTGCCACAACTAAGCCATGTGCCCTATACAATTTCAAGATGCGCATCTTCTGAAAAGATGGAAAGGATGTATGTTCATGGAATAGGTAAGTACGGCTCACACAGGACGAAGGAACGGCTGGCCGGCAAGGTCTGCGAAGAGCGCATTTGTGCGGCGAAGGATACGCGTGTCGAAGTAGGAGTACCTGGGCATGCCGCGAAAAGATGCTTCAAGAATTTTGCGTGTCATGCTGGAGGTTTACGGGTCCTCTTCCTACGTCAAAGATCAACTGGCAGAGAGCTAGATTGTGAGGGTTGCTGCCCCGTTGCTTGCGCGATAGAAGTACCAAAGTGGGGTTCTGGCGATGCCTACACTGCTTCCGACCCCAGTTGCAACTATTAATGAAACTGCAGGTGCAGCTTAGCTAGAGAAGGAAGAACAGCGCAAGGCACGTTGTGGGCTACCCCAGGTGACCTCTGCTTATCTGACTCCAACTTTTCTCTCTCAGGTGTTCAGGCTTAGAGGTTCAGAATCTAAGATAAAGCCCACGCTCTGGTTCAGTCACAACTTGGAGTCTTTCAGGCGTTGAACCGTAAACGACTAAACCCAAAAACCCAAGAATTGAGTCAGAAGTGTGCAGTTCTGAATTCAACTGCCTACGCGGTCCCGTTTCTGGTCTTCTTTTGTTGGCTGGTGTCGCTTCCCGGTGGTTGTTTTTTCGGGATAATTCGTCTTTTGATGGACAAGAGACGGAAAGGCTCATCGTCCCTTGCATGTTAGTTTGGCCTACTGACAATCGGAATTGATGTGCTTTGCTTAGAGAGGGCTTCTCAAAATGCTTTGAACTCGACATTGCATGTGTAGCACAAGTCTTCCAGGTTTTGGGACAAATGTCGTCAACCTTGTGGAGGATCATTCAAAACATATGGGTTGAGGGTTAAGGTTTTGAATACCATTGTTTGACGGTCTGCGGGGGAACTGAGGATTTCAGCCTAATAGAGTATCATCTTTCAAGGTCTCTGGAGGTCCCAAGAACAGCAAACCTGGCTGCGCCGAGCGTCATCCAAGGAGCTCGCCATGTTCCTGTTTGGGGCTGCAGCAAGGGGTTGAGACTCGATCTGCCCTGGAACCTTACCGAGAAAAAGTTGAGCCTCTTAGAAGTGTTTTAAATGAGCTAAAATCACAAAACTGTTTCAAGACATCCCTGGAAGAGGCTTTCAAGACTTATAGGGCCTGGGTTTAGAATCGACCCCTGACATAGCTAAAAGGCTGCTTTGAGGTCATAGGGTCTATGCAGCAGGCATGACGATTTTTTCACCGTGCCAAGAATCAGAGACTTAGGAAATGTGCATCTCAGGACGCTGCTTGCATCCTTCCTTCTATTTTGCTGGGCTGCTGCGGTGCCATCATATGGAAGCCAGATATTCCTGAAATTACTGAATATCTATATACTTAAGGTAACTTAACTTAAGTTCCTCAAAAGCAACCAGATTTGTATAACCCCAGTAAAGCGGACATGACAGCTCAGCGTGGTTCAAACAGTTCGGGGGAACTCCCTAGACTGAAGCTCCGACTTGCAAAGATCGAAGTACAGGTGACAGGAAATCTGTCATGAGCATGTCAAAACAAGAATGCATTGTGCCGAAGACTCTCCTTGCCCTAAACCCTAGACCATGATCCCACACCCCCACACCCTCAACCGATCTCGACCCCCGTAAACGCACTGGCCTGTGTATGGGCACTGCGAGACCTTCGAAAGAATGGCATCAGCATCCTGGCAAGAGCAGGTTCAAGCTTGGAGGTGTATATCAAATCATGCAGGAGAAAGGTATAAAAGGTTGGCAAGGAATTCAGATGCGTTTGAGCCAGCGCTGGGTCGAAGCTCAGCAGGCCTATTACAAAACACGAGGGTAGCGACCACACCCTAATGCCTGAACTGTAACATTGATGATTATAAGAGACTGCAGCCACATATAAGGTATCTATGCAGGGCTACAGGTACACTGCTAACGATATGTCTTAGGTTCTTGTTATCCGGGGACTCCGCAGTCTGGACCTTGAAACCCTTAACCCTAAACCCTCACTCTCTATACACACCCTAAACTGTGTTTGTTTCTAGCATGGGTCCTGAATTGACATGAACTTGATGCCAGCAGTGCCTTGTTCTGCTGCATCCCTAGATACAAATCCGCTCCCCTTATACCACCCGGGATGTCCGGCGCACGCTTAGAACCCAAGAAAGGAAAATTCCCGTGAAGGGAGGGATTACCCTGAACCCTGCTCCGGAAACCCAACCCAAGTGTGCATCATAATCCCTTAAGACTAGCCTAAACACGGCAACTGCCTCAATCAAAAACGCAACCCTACTTAAATGCATCATTTGAAACCTGAGCCTATGACTGCTCTGAAGATCATGAGCCTCTTCCCTCATACCTTGACTCCCCCGGACCCTGTGCCATACAATTCGGTAGTAGAGTGAAATGACAGTCAACCCATATTGTATGTCTTCGCACCTGTCAGTGGCTGGGGCTCCCTCCTAATGCTAAGGGAAGAGGTCTTCATCGGTGGCAAGTTTGTGTGTAGACTATCACTGCAACTGGGGGGTACTAGTTCCATCAGCACTGTGATTCAAATATGAAAAAGGGCTCTGAACGTATCCGCTCCTAAACCCTTAACCCTTGTAAGGTCCTCTTTTCGGATCTTGTGAGTAACCTTGCCGGTGCCGTTTTGGATATTCATCTCCTTGATGCCATTCCTGTCACTTTGCTGGAACTTGCTTGGGGTTTAGGGTTTAGGGCTTAGGGCTTTAGGGCTCTGAGTTCGAGAAATCAGCGATTTCCCCCTGCCCAGTTATGGCTCGTCTTTCAGTCTGAACAAGAAGGTCTGTGGTCTGTGGCATAGCGTGGATTCTCGCCACCAGTGTGAAACATGGTCTACGCCAACCCCTTTCAAATTCCATAGGCGACACTAGAAAGTCCTCCAGCCCGCACACTGTAGGAATTTGACAGCCTTCATAGACTCTATCGACGCTTTGGGCTTAGGATTCTTGGTCTAAAGTTTACTACTTAGAAATAAGGTTTAAGGTCTCGGGCACATAAAGATGGAACCCCAAATAGGCCATTTTGAAAAGGGCTGTAATCTTTATAGGGCGCCTTGTGGGGCTCCATCTTCGTTTGAGAGAGTGACTCATGCAACCCAGTACCCGACAGAATCACAAACCCACGAATCCTCTAAACCTCACGTAACCGAAGGAACCGGGATGCTCATGAAAGCATCCCTGAATACATCTGCTGTATATTGAATACCCAAAACACCCCATTCTAAATATGTGGACCCTTACCTCACTAGAGCAGTTTCAAATCCGTGGGCCCATTCTCCGTGACTCCGTGCTATGCTTGATAAGGACTTGTCCGACCCCAAATCCTTAACCTCAATTTCAATCATACATCCCAAATCTTGAACCTAACCTCTGTCGCTGGTTTACCTGGGAGTAAGCCTTACAGGACTCATAAGAACCGGCCCCGCTTCATGGAAAAAAATTGGGCGGCTATTTGCCTGCCTGTCAAAAACTACATTTTACATTGGTTTCTGGTTGCGGCGCCTTTTTTGTGAATCTCAAGTGTCCGGAAAACATCTACGCTACTTCATACTTTTCAAAAGTGTTGTTTTGGGGTGCTCTACACTAAGGGCGGGAAGAAATACGATTGCCGACTGGATCTCATCTATGAAGAGTACCTGTGCAAGTGCATCTACTTGTTTTGAGAACTGCTCTAGCGACATGAAAATCATTATCATCTTGGCCAGCATGGATGTTCTTGTTGAGTGACTGCTCTGGAGACATGAACGTTCTGATCTGGGACTTCTTATCTGGGACAGCATAGACGTTCTTTTTCGGCTCTAGCGACATGAACGTTATTATCTGGCCACAAAGCGAGCGATGATGCCCCAGCAACATTTTGGAGAGCTGCCGCCAGACCATAATCTCGTGCTGAAATTACAAAAAGGCTAGCAACAAGCATGAAGCACAAGTCGACAGATGACCTGATTTCCTGACAGGAAGCGCGAACAACGGAAAACATCGATTTTCCCTCATCCCAAAACACCACCATAAATTGAAAATTCCAGGTCTAAAAACTTCTCAATGGCATAGATTGGGGCCGAATGTGCTCAAACGTGGCGTGTGAACAGGAAAATTGAAATTTTCGGACGACCAAGATTGCTAAAGCTAACGTCCAAAACATTAAGCAAGCACGTGACGTATGCAAACCCTCGACTAGTGTTGCAACTTGGAAGAATTGGCTAAGGGTTCGGGCGGAAGGACTTTAGGCTTTCAACAGCTTATACTTAGTTTATGGGAGTTCTCATTCTCTTGTGTTTGTGAGGATGAGGGTGTTGTTTTTGCCACACCGTGCAGATCCCTTTTTTTAGCACTTTTCCTCTTATGAGCGCTCACAGTCGCCCTGCCGACATGCAAAATCCTTGGGCTTTCGACGAATGCTGAGATGCGTGGCTATAAGCAGGTCCACTAACAAAGCTAAACCTGTACTGACCACATGAACCTTTAAGCAAACGCTCTACCCTGAGCCCTACACCCTAAACTCTGCACCCTGAAAACCGTGACCCCCAAACCATAACCCCGAATCCCTAGGGGCACTTAAACCCTTGAAGCCGAGCCCCAAAATTACCCTAATCCCTAAACCCCTCAAACCCCTAACAATACTTTACAACCGCCCAAAAAATGCTCTGCCTGTCGAAAGAAGGTATGAAGCCTCCGAGCGCGTAAGGATCTGCCATCCTTGGCCCGCGGAAATCTCGCGGTTAAAACTTTGGGGATGAGGGGTCTCGGCTTGCGCCTCACAGGTTTGGAGCTTAAGGTTTAAGGTTTAGGGGTTAAGGGTTTTAGGGGCTTGGGGCTTGGAGTTTAGAACTGAAACTCTGGGGTTTGGGCGTAGAATTGCAAATTTAGGGTTGAAGGGCTTGGGTTTTATCTTAGGCCCACGGAAGTCCCTGGCACCCCAAAATCTTTCCATGTTGGTATTTCTTCAATCATAACTGGAATCCCTTGAGCTTGTGTTTGGGGGTAGGTGTACAAAAACGATAGAGGGATTTCAGGACGTTCAGGGCCCTAGCATGCCAGAATTCGGTTTAGAGATTGAGGTAGTTTAGGCATTTCAGGCCTGCACGCTTGAGTGTAGGATTGGAGGCTTTGGATTCAGGGTTTGGGATTTGGAATTTAAGAGGCTAGGCTTCAGGGCGCCGTGTTCAGGATTCAGGGCTTCGGGTCTTGGACCTGGAGTATAGCTGGAAATCTAGGTTCATCCGTTTCCTTGTCTTGCTCGTGGCGCTATGCTATATCTCATCCCAGAGCCCTACTAAAATTATGGGTTTTGCACTTTGTCCGCACGGTTCCTCTCTACTGTCAATATTATAATATCTGCTTTGTCTTGTGCTGCTTCACCGCGCAGATGATTATCTGTTTCTGTGGCCTGCGATGTCTTGCTTGCGTTGGTGTGACCAACAGCATCATCAGCTTTAACCCGAAACCCCAAAGCATGTAAGCCAAACCAGAACCAGAGCTAGTAAGACCAAGACCGTCGATTAGGATCACGTCTCTCTTGGTGACAACTAGCTTGTAAGACTCATCTTATTGCTGTGGTTGTCGTGACTAAACGTGAAACACGCATGGCTAATATTGCTACTACAGCTATCGCCTGAAAACCATTATCAGACATGCTCCACTTCTTGTTGCTAACTATTTCGCTCGCATGTAAAAAAATGATAATAATAATAATCCCCACCCAACCTTGTGCAATTCTGCCAGCTATAGTCTGCTGTCTCATTATAATGGGAAGTATTTCATAACGAGTAGTAGGCCGTTTTAAATGGTGCGCAGAGATTCACGCTTTTCTGCCATCCGCTTCTGTCTGTTGTGGTTCGGTTTTGAGGCTTGGCTTAGAATCCAAAGTTTCCTTGACAGATTAATCGTTACTTGAAAGTACTTATGGGAAACTGCTGTGTGTATGTATATATATATATATACATATATTTTTTTCATGGATGGAGTCCGCGCCGGGACTTATGAATCTAATGCTGACCAGGTAGGGCCCCAAAGAAAGCAAGCTTTCCACCTTCAAACCCAATGCCAACGCTTCAGCCTCAGAACCCAGGCCCTTCGTCTCAAGCCTCCAGGCCTCAAATCCTAAACTCCAAACCAAAAACCCTAAACCCTAAAAATTTAACTCCTTGGACTTGAGCCTCCGTGGTCTGCTGCAGCGTTCCCCTCAACCTGGAACCCAAATACACGAACTCTGAAAGTCTTCAGTTTCTAGCCCCTCCCTAGCAGGCAGACACTATATCAACCCCTGTGATGCCTAAAGAAACTGCCAGTCGTATGCCCGGGGCCCTCTCCAACACCTCATGTAGTGGGCTGAGGAACTAGAATAGGATTTGGGGGTCTCGTGTACTGGAACGATAGGATGATTACTTCTCAGCCTTCTATATCACAACTGCTTTGATTTCTTGTCCCAAGTAGGTATTCTACTAGATTCCATGCAATTGATTATGAGAGACTACAGGATTTTACTGATTTTGCTACCTACCCTACACCCTTGAACCCTAACCCTTAGACCCTAAACCCTTAAACCCTAAACGCTTAAACCTTAAACCCTAATCCTCTGAACGCTTCAGCCTTAAATCCTTAGGCCCAAAACCATTACACCATTACACCCTAAACACCTAAACCCTAAACCCCCAAACACTATACCTCTGAACCCTGACACCTAAACCTTTATATCCTTAACCCCTAGATCTCATCCTGGCCGGGGTGCAACTTTCGGGTCTCGTCACTGGCACTGCTCATGGCACCACGACTCGCCAAGGTACCGCCGGACCTTAGGAGTTAGGGTTTACGGCTCAGGGCTAGGAGTTTAGCGTTCAGGGTCTAATGTTTAAGGTTTTGGGTTTAGGTTTTGGGTTTCGGGTTTTGAGTCTTGGGTTTACAAGAATTTATAGGGTTAAGGGTTCAAAGCTTAGGGTGCCTTAGGGTTCAAGGCGCGGGGGCTAGGGTTTAGGGTAAATCTTATACCTGCAAATCCAAGGATATTCTCAACCTACTTATGCTGGTACTCATTACCCGGCATCAACCCTTTACATAAGCCCGCTAATACTGCCAAAACTGGGCTTTTTCCTACTGTTTAAGGTTGGGGCTTAATTGCCAGTGACCTGCCAACGTCCTCTCTTTGACCACGAAATAACATAGTGCTTCTTATAAGAAATCCAGAAGGGAAGCAATATTTCGAAGCACAAGCCCAAGAGTCCTTCTCATTCCAAGCAAGCGTTGCCAAATCCTAGGCCTTTAAAGCTAATCTGCATCCCGAATTCCGTCGAACAACCCACAAGAGGCACAATGAGTGGAAAGCAGTTGGCAGCGAATGTAGCAACGGAAAAGACGATGGAAACTCTTGTATCACAGGGCAGTATGTAGGGCTGTAGAGGGGTTTCATGGATACTAGCAGCGAGTAGGATCATCCATCGTATCACGTCCTGCTAGGCCGACACCAATGAAGCGTTCGTGGATGAAGATATCCATCTTCAACAAATTTGAGCTGTTCTCAGCCTGTCTCCTGGATGCAACCAAGGGGCACCTGGCAAGCAACAGATACGGCTGGAGACACCTACAATCCTCCTAGCACACTTTGGTGTCATGTGAACCCAAACAGATACCCTGTAGATACGACTAGCATAACCTTGATTGAAAAACCCACAAATGTCCAAGCCAACTTACGTCTTCAGGTTCATAAGTCACGCCCGCATCCCAGGAAAGCTGCTGCAAGTTGCTTCTTTTCATTTGCGCTGGCTGTGCCTGCAACCCTGCAACAACATGGAGTTGACATCTGGGGTCAAACATGAAGCTGAAGGAAACTTTTAATGAACTCACAGCATCGGCTGGTGAGCCCTAGCCCCCTCCTGTGTAGGAGAATATGAAGTCACTCCAGAACTTGCTCAAGTTATCCTCTGTCACAAACTAAACCGCTGTGCAAAGCGAGAATCCGTTAAGGTCATGACCATAGCCAGCTTTGCCAATCGGTCATGCTTCTGCAGAACCTGCATACGATGATGCAGCCGAGCCGGACTGTAGGCCAGCAGCGCAGGAAGGTAAATCATCATGGCGCAAATCTCGGCACGAGTGAAGAAATCCTGCAAGAGAACATGCTTGCGTGAAAGATTTGCTTCCACGCTGAGGCCCAGGAGGCAAGGACATGCAGCGATAACTTTGGCCACTTGCGGTCGGCTCA